TTTATTCTGATTTTGTCCTTCTTACGGGGAGATAGAGGCATCCAAGGCTAGATCATCTTTTACTGGTAGTGTGCCAAAGTAGGATTTATTTTCAACAATATTTCATCTTGCCAGTCTTTTCAACCATTTCAGGCATCCTCCCTCCTCCCATATTTATGAAACTATATATACAGCTTTCCTATGAGAAAGCAGCTGCTTGAAAACGCTTGTGAATAACACACAAGCTAACCTCCAAGTTCAAAACTGCCAGCCATGCAAAAAGTGTGCAGAGTACAGACTTCAGCCGAAGCATTCATCATGTTGTCCAGGCATCTGTCAGCTACCATATATCAAGGCTTTCATTTGTCTTGTGCAACTCCATTGCCAAACTAAAATATACATATACAGATTTGTATACAGAGAACGTGAACAGAGCTCACAAAGGAGTATTGCTGAATACTGAAGTGAAATGTGTTTTGTGCAAAGAAGCTGTGAGAAACAAGACAGACGTTTCTGGATGACAGAAGTTACAAACATTCGAGATTAGAGTATGAGAGAGACAGTTTGGTAGTTTCCAGTGACTTGCTCGTGTGTCTGACAGCTCCAGGAGTGCAGAGTGCCTGCCTGGTAGGGAATAACATTATGTATAAGAAAGCATGGTTGGATAGAAGAATGCTGTGCTCTGTTTAGGGAAATACTTGCAAACTCTTCATAAAATTTGGGGCACCGGTGTTGAACAGTGCTCCTACACAGGCAATACCAGAATTGTTCTGGACAGACAAAAATCCACACCGTCCACAGTCATGTCTTCTCCTCAACACGGCAGCTTCGTTTGGGACTCAGGGCAGCTCAAGCACAATGACATGGCCTAAAACGGAGAAGCGAAGCATAAGCGCTGAGCAGAGAGCAGGCAGCGAAGGATGACGTTAGGTCAGAGCGCTCCTGTGTCAGATCCCAACTGGTCCTTGTGGGTCGCTGGGACCAGCGGAGGTTTCCTCCGCTCCATCCCTCATGGGCAGGGGCAGTGGCGGGGGGTTGCTGCTCGGTGCCAAGCCGTTCGCAGGGTGCAGGAGGTACCCCGGGCAGGAGCGGGGTCGGGGCCCAGGATTTCTGTGTAGCCTTGTGGGTGCTGTGCCCCAGCCACAGCGTGACAGCAAGAGGGGTGCTCGGGCAGGGCAGGGTGGCAGGAGGTACCCCGGGCAGGAGCGGGGTCAGGGACCAGGATTTCTGTGTAGCCTTGTGGTGCTGTGCCCCAGCCACAGCATGACAGCGAGAGGGGTGCTCAGGTGCCTGGTCAGAAACAGTTAGAAGGGGTAACTGATTCGATCACTCAACAGACACTAATTCAGCATTGCTTTTAAATTACCTGTCAACAGATACTCTCTTTTTTTTTTTTTGCTGCCTGCCTCTCTGGTGGGCAGGGTCCCACATGCACGCGTTTCTATAGGCACCAGCTGGGCAAACAGCATCCCACTGCACAGACCAAGTGGGGCTTCTGCAGCAGCTACGAAAAAAAAAAATCAAAGGGAAAGAAAAAAAGAAGTTGCACAATTCCTTTTCTTGAGAATAAGGGCAGTTAGCTGAGCTCTCCAGCATGGCACTGACAAGATGAGACAGCTGCCTTAGAGCCAGTGTGTTCAAACATGCTGCCGTTATCCTGTTACATGAATCAAAACCAGCACACACCAGCTTTCATCTGGATTTCATTATTGTGATTTATATCATAGAGACTGTTGTCTTGCAGGAAGCAGCAGTATACGGAGTTGGGGGGGGAGATTGTTATCAACAGGACAAAATTGACAAATCTCTCTGTTTAAAAATAGCCATACCTGCTTACCATTTTTAGTTTTAAGCCGTCTGCTTATTCTCAAGCCTCGTGAGTGCTTTGCTTTAAATAAAATTTTAAAAAAGAGCTTTTCTCCTTCTAAAGAGAATGTAACTGAATTCTGGCAAATCTCCCACGGGCTGGAGGAGTCCCAGGTAAAACAGACAGTGCCTGCAGAGCGGCCCTGGGGAAAGGTGCTCCCCGGGGGGCTGCTGCTGCTGTGTGGCAGAGCCCAGGGGTCACTCCCCCCCTCTGCGCAGTTACCCCCGGAGCTGGGGTCACGCCGGCACCTACTTGTTAGAGGTGAAAGCAACTGAAACTTGCTGTCGGGCATAATTTCTGTGCAGCTGAGTCCAGAGGATGGTCTGGCCCTCCCTCCGCTGCCATGCCCTTTCTGCAGCAAAGTGGTTTCTGTCGTGCAGGCAAGGTTCATTCGTGATTGCATCTTCCTCTGTGCGAGGAAAGATGGTTACACGGAGAGAGCCAAATGCAAGTCTGCCAGAAGAACCCATGATCACTTTGAGGGAGATAATTAAGATAAAACTAAGGAGCTCCGTGTAATGGAGAGCAAACAACAGGCAGTTAGGTTTGCAGTGAAGCACGAAATAAGGTGTCGTGTAGCTTTGCACAGTAGCACCGGGCTCACTCTTTCTAGGATTGCCCAAGACAACAAAAAAATGCTGGTAGTAACTAAAATCATCTTTGGATTTAATAGCGGGTAACCTTTATGTGCTCAGTGTCTCTTGACTCTGTGAGTAAGAGCAGCATGGACCGATGCTTCTGTACGTTGAGTAGCAGATGGCACTGGTCTAAATTATGTTATGATGTGGCTTGTTTCAATAGTCCTCTTATAGCAGTACTAAGAGGAACCCTCTTAATAACACATAAAATTCCCAGCATATCTGTGTATCAGAAGCACCCAACTTGCTGATGATCCTCTGGCAACAAAACCAAGGAGTAGGCAGGCAGGCAGCGACGTCCCAGGGAAAGAAAGGAGAGGAGTAATTGGCAAGATCTTCATTCTTCTGCTTCGGAGGGCTGAGCTCTGCCAGGTGAGATGAAGCACGTGAGAAGCTGTCTGTGATGAAGAGCCATGGCTGCACGGGTGCGTGTGTACGTCCTTCCAACCTCAGCAAGATTAAAACCGGGCAGACCCACATATTCAGTTGAAGCCTTTCCCTCCGACCCTGGGTAGGGCAAGGTTTCTCCTCCCTGTCTTTTCCTCTCTTCCTTTTATTCAGGCGTGGTAGCACATTGCCTGCCTCAGCTTCAAGACAGCGTATGAATTTTTGACCTCAGTGGCACTGCAGTGTCTGCCTGGACCTGCGCTGGAGCTCATCCATACGCAGGCAGGGCAGCAAGGGGTGGCTGAAGAGGGTTGATGTGGCTTTCTCCTTTTTGATGATTTCTTACAACTGGCAGGTTTCTGTAATAGGACTGAATTTCCTTAATAAATTATCCCCTTTATTGAGCAAAATTTGGACTAGTGCCTAACACATAACTGTGTTGGAGGGGGCTCACAAACATTTATACTTAGGAAAGCGGCAGGCAACTGCTGTGTGTGATGTGCCCAGCAGAATTACCTGCTAGGACATAGTGGGGAGCAATTTATCTGGACAGATGATGCTTCTCATACTGCAAATCAGATAGCAGAATGGCCCATGTTTTAAAATGTGTGTATGACCGTAACAACACCCCGTGGCAAGAAGTTGTTTTTTTCCTCTCTATTACAGTATGTTTACCTCAAATACTGCTGTGTGCTATTCAGGGGAAACACATGCTCTGCTTTCTTTTAAATTCCTATAATTATCCGTTATTTCAGTACCATATCTCCTAAATAAACTGCAGGAAAAGTTAGGTGTGTTTTACTCCCCTTTATGCTCATTTTGGATCCAGACAAGAACATGATCGGATAATAAGAGTTGTCCGATTGCTCTCTAGGGCCATTACACTCTCTCCTCCCCAAGCCCTTCCGTATACTATGCTAATTGTTGAAAAAGAAAACTGCAAGCATATGCAGTCAGTCTTTTTGGCTGATTTAGATTCCCGGGAGGATATAATACAGCAAGGCTCCATCTTCTATAAAGGCATAACTGGCGACAAGTGTTTTGCATGCCTCTTTCCACGTCTTGTTGTTTAGTGTTAACAGCCCTTTGCCATAATATAGGTTAATCATAAACAGAAATTAGAAGGGAAAAATTATTTTACTGGAAGGAGAACACACTGCAATGCAAACTGCTGTTCTCCCACTGCCTGTGCTTGAAGCTGGCCGGGAGCTGGGTGCCTGGGGACCAGGTTGTCCCTTGGCTGCCTGAGCTGGGGCTCTTCTCTGCTCCTGTCTGAGGGGCAGAACAGCCAAAGCCAGGAAGAGAATTGGCACATTCCCAAAATGAAGGTTGGTTTGTTGTTCAGCTGATAGATTTTGGCCAGGTGAGTGGTGACAGAGGATTTGGGTAAAATGCTTCCTGAATGAAGACTGAAGGAAGGAGCGAAATGCTGCACACCCATAGATGTGAGCGCTGGCGTTGCAGTACTGGCCGGGAGGACCCTCTGCTACTTGGGGAAATTCTTTAGGTTGTGACAAAAAGGAATAGCGAGCTCAGCGTAAAGGAAATAAACTGTACACTTTGAATGTTGTCCTAACTCAGTATTTTTGTCCACTTACTGCCTAACTTATGACAGCATTACTATCTTGCACTCTACTGAACGACCTGCCATGTAGGCTAATTACCTATTTTATCACAAGTGTACGCTATGGCAGTCAAGAATTTGTACCAGCGGTTCCTTTGAAGAATTGATTTGAGAGAAACTCACAATATGTCTCAGAACCGTATGGAGATACGCACACAAAATCTGGTCATCAAATCAGTTATTGTGATAATTTTTTTTGGTTTAACAAGACTTCTCAGCTAGGTTTTATCCACCCACATTTAGCTTCAACTCACTCTTAGCGATACTTGGAGGATCCTGACAAGGTATGTGTTGTTCGGGGCTTGTGCTGATTTCAGATTTCAGGTCACTTGTTCTGATGGAGGAGTCACAAAAAAATTGTTGCCTTCATTCAGACTTAATTTTCCCCTCAACTGAAAGCATTGGGACTGACTGGCATTTGTTTGGTATTCCTTGCTTTTGGGAATTGAGTGACCTTGTTTGTTACAAACTAAAAGAGCAATTCTCTCTTGACCATGTGTTACAGACCACAGTCATAGACTACGTGAAGCCATCAGATCTCAAGAAGGACATGAATGAGACCTTTAAGGAGAAGTTCCCTCACATCAAGTTAACCCTCAGTAAAATAAGAAGGTACGTTGCAAAGCTTGGTAAGGCTGCAACGTGATGCAGCTGTCTCACATTTCAGTGCAATTGCTGCTGTACATGAGGGGAAGCACAGCACTGATTGATCTTCCAGGAGCAGTGACCGGCAGAGGTGCAAAATAAGTAAGATGATTGCTTTGATTAGTGGGCTGAGTAAACAAGATAGGGGAATGTACAAACACACACAGGTCAGGTGTTAAATGCAGCATCTAACAGGATGCGGATGCGAGCTGGGCATGCACCGTACTAAAATATCCAGAAAAATAACACAACAGTCTCTAAGCTTATGGCACTTAGCTTAAAAAGAGACTGAGGAAAGAGAAATGCTGACTTCTGTGCCTTGTCCAGAGAGCGTGGCCAGAAGCAAAACAAGTGGTCAGCTTCACAGCAAAGTCGTAGTATTTCATCACTGCTTCCAGTGTAGCAGGCTAGACATACTGCTTCACTGAAGTAACGGTAATTTCATTTGACTGAAGTGGCCAGAAGGATACTGAGTCGTGTTGCTCTGTAACCAGACAGTACTGCCATACATGAAAAGACTGTCAGTTTGGATTTGACCAACCGTAACCTGCAGCAAAGCTGCATATAAAGCACAAGCAATCAAGCTGTTGTTACTAAGCAAATTCTATGCAGCTTAAGACCTCTGATGGAATATTGTTATTTCATAACAATAATTTATTGTAAAAATGTCAAAGCTTTTCAGTTGCTTTTATAGTTTGCCACAACTATCTATTGGGGGCAGTGAGGGGGAAGGATGAGGTCAAAATGTGCCGTGAAATGTGTCCCCAAAACAGAGCATAAAGATATCTGCCCGGTAAATTACGTTTTCCTTTTCCCCTCTATTTGACTAAGAGGGAGTCTCTGAAAGGATGACTCTTAGGGTGAAATGAGAAATGCTTTAAAACGCAGTTCACAGCATACTTGTCTGGTCTCTTTACTCAGCTTGAAGAGAGAAATGCGCAAGCTTGCTCAAGAAGAATGTGGTTTTGAAGAGCCCACAGTGGCCATGGCCTTTGTCTACTTTGAGAAGCTCGCTCTCAAGGGGAAGCTGAACAAGCAGAATAGAAAGCTTTGTGCTGGAGCCTGTGTTCTTTTAGCAGCCAAAATTGGCAGTGACCTCAGAAAACATGAAGTCAAGCATCTTATAGATGTACGTATCCATAGGTTTCCAATGTTCCTTCTACATGAAGTGCCAGTATGTGGTCTACACAAGCCTGCTTGTCAGTGGTCACGCTCTCCTCTAGGTTTCCAGCTGTACAGCCAGCTAAATACCCTTTTTTGTTACACATTTATGTGGAAGTAGTAGTGATCAATGTCACTGCAGAGGCATGGGAAGCTCGTTCAATGTGATTGAAGACCCTGATGTCAGATACTGTGAGGTCTGAGAGGTATCTGACCACTGTTCTGTCAATACAAGTCAAAAGTTAACCCTCAGGAGATTCATTTTGCTTTTAATTATGTTTTCAAGAGTGTCAATAAGGACTCTCCTTTGAGAGGTAAATGCAGATACTAATTTCAGAGGGAGTCTAATAGAATACCAAGTTTGTATTTCTTTCATCAAGTTAAGCTTTTGGGCGAGAAAACCTGAAGAAGTGTTCCCATTAGAACACCTCACCTCAACTATTTTTTTGTAGAGTAAGGTGTTTGGTCTTCCACCCACTCCATATGGAAGAGTTAACAGAAAGGAGTGTTATTCCATAATCCGTTTGCAAGCACTGAGATACCAATCTGATTTAACGCTACAGAAAGTTAGGGCAGGTTGCTGGGTACTTGGCTACAACCAACTCACTTAGTTCAAGAGACATGGAAACTTGGTTGGGGGGTAGAACCGGACTCATGCCCTTCTGCCACAGTCACAGAGCTGGGTCCACAGTCAGTTTGTTAGAAAGCCCTCTGAATAACCAGAAAAAAAATCAACCCGGTGGGAGTTGGAAGATCTGGCCTCTCTTGCTATCCTGAAACATTGGTCCATCCTTAAGACACATTGAGATTTTCAGTAGACCCAGTGGGCAGAGAAGTAGCAAGCCAGGGAGATCGTAAGAAGAGGATGGGGCGGGGGGGGAAGTGTCCCTGAACAGCTGGCTGCCTACTTGGAGCATCCAAATCCAGTGAAAACAGCAGAGCAGATGGGAGGTTTAGTACATTACAGCAGAAGGCCAACTATGAAACCCATCTCATCCCCCTTGAGGATAGTAGTTTCTCTTACTCACTGTTCTTACGGTTGTTGCAGATGACACCTTCTGCCTCTGAGGTATTAAGATCAAACGTATCTAATTGTAGCAGAAATAATTTCCCCAATAGGGTGTTGTAACACAGTCTAATGCTGAAAGGAAAATCAGTGATTTCAAGCAGCGCAGGAAGTTTATGGGCAGTAAGGAGACACATGTCTTCCATCACATAAGTGATTTCGATGTCTGCATGAAGCCAGGAGTTTCCTCTTCCTGCAGTGGTAATCGCTATGATCGTTAGAAGACAATTCTGCTGGAAATGGAATGAGTGAAATGACAAACATGTCAGAAATAGCATGACTGGCTGAGTTTTGTAAGTTCACCTTCACAGTAAGGAATCAGTACATCCAGTTCATCCTGCTCTCATTTTCTAAACCTAGAGCCATGCAAGTCCAGCAGGGCAGAGGTTTAATGACAGCAGCACATGTGTTTTGAATAATGTCATCTGTAAGAAAGCACTAGAAAGTCAAATCCTCATTCACAAAGACTTTTTTTAATTTTTTTTTTTTTCCTTGGCTGTCATTGCAGAAACTGGAAGAGAAGTTCCGGCTGAACAGGCGAGAGCTGATCGCCTTCGAGTTCCCGGTGCTGGTGGCCTTGGAGTTTGCTCTCCACCTTCCCGAGCACGAAGTGATGCCGCACTACAGACGCTTGGTGCAGAACTCCTAGCGCTGGCTGCTCGGCGGGGAAGGGGCTCCCGACTGTTCCCGCTTGGCTCTCTTGAGCCGCAGTTACTACTGGAAATGCAAAATCAGACTCCTAACACTTCACTCTCTCTCTCTCCCCAAAACAGTTTTTCCGGCAACGTATAGGAAACACTGCGTCAATGTAAAACTCTCAGCTTTGACAAATTTACGTATCGTTACTTTCTCAAAGCAGGTGAAGACTGAGCTGTTGGTAAATGGTTAACGTGCTGAAACTGGGTGGCGACTGACCCTACCTGTGGGGACTACAGCTATGAAAGTAGGCAAAAATTTGAAGGGCAGCCTCCATGACCACCCCTCTCTCCATCACACAAACCCTGGAAGCCCACGTGAGTGCATTCTTGTAGCGCTTTTTCTACAGACCTGCTGCAACTTCCAAGAGGACTTCTTAACGTGAAAAAGCTTTTAAAGAGGATATCTTCACTGTGTCAAAAAGAATGTGCCAATCTATTTTTGTATCAGCAATTGAAAGTGCACTTTTTCCTGTGGGGTGTTTGTGTGTGTATCCGTGTATGTGTGCGTGTGCGACACCGAACTGATCTCAGTCCAGGTGGTTGGCTTAGCTGTTTCCGAGTGCATCAGTTACTGATGGTGAAGATCAAGGTGACCTTACGTGTTTACTTCTTGAAAAACATAACTACTGGAAAAGTGGTAAATGGGATCATTTTTGGACACTTGGTTTTTTTATTCTCTGATCTTTCCAACATTGTACCTTTGAAAGGATTACACTACTACTACTACTACGAGAGAAGGATCAGCAACTGACCTTGAGTTTTCAGTCATGTTTGTGATAAAGGTGAAAGCATTAGTATGAGATTTCCATGTCATGTTTTTTAAAAATATCTTGTGTTAAGCCACATGCATATTTTTAACCTTCGCACTTTTCCCACTGTGGAGATGGTTAGACTTGCACTCTGTAGTGTTGTATTTCTGTGCTCTATGTTAGAGTGCGTAATAAGCACATTTATTGTGCTGTATCTTAAAACAGTGTTTTATTAAAAAAAAAAAAGAGTAGGGCTCAGCAGTATAACAGGTGTCTTAAGGCCCCAACAGCAGGGGCATCAGCTATCGTTAAAGTTCTTGGTTTTTAACTAGAATTGACTGTGCAAAACCTAAAATCAGTGCCCATTGAAGTTAAAGGTCCAGTTCCTTTAGACATTTCAGTACTGGAGTTTTACAGTAAAACTTCTTGCAGCTTCCCTGGTTCTGACTGGACACCCAGAAAGCTGGAGGGTTTCATCCAAGCTCCCTGATGCTACACACACACTAAGCTAGCACCATGCTTACGGACATCATTCAGTTGTTGCTATCCTGTAAGATTACACCCCTGTCCAATCTTCTCCTGTGCTGGTTCACTTAACAAGCCTTGCCTTCAACATGCCCCACACGGATCCGGTAAAGTCAAATACTTACAGCTATGGTATTTATAAAAAGAAATTTAAAATCTCAAGTATGAGATTTTAGCTGAAGCCTTACCTCTCTAAGTTTGGGAGTGCTTGCTCAGAGTATGGAAAGGGCTTGTGAGCAGAACACAGAGAAGTGGGACATACCAGAGGATGTAAACACACTAACGCTTACTTTCTTCCGCTCTTACTTTAATCAGTTTTATTACTTCCTTCAGTTAGGCCAGGAAACATCCAGTTTCTTTACCAGCTTTGACTCCTTTAAATTCTAGTATGAAAAATGCCTGCATATGATTGCTCTATAGGATCTGGAAAGGTTACACGTGTCAGGACAAATGGGAATTTGTTTGATGCTGTTGCTCTCCCTCCATTTTAAGGAGGAGGGTGACTATGCTAGCTTACAGTTATTATTCATACTTATCTAATTACTGATTAGATACATTCCAACAGGATTGGGGAGGAGAGGGTAAAGAGAAAAGCGTGCACTTACCTCCCCGGTGCAACGCCCCACGCCGCTGCAACCCACACGTCACTCGGCTGGCTGCGGAGCGAGGGGCGGGGGGGCCTCGCCAGCGCTCCTGCTCCCTCCTCCTCCTCCCAGCCTCCAAGCAGCCAAGGAACAGAGGAGCCAAGAGCCTTGAGCACACCTAACACCTACGGCTGCCCTGCCGGTTTATTCAACCCAAAATGGCAGTGTAGTGTTGACCTACAAGCCAAAACGGTCTGCGGGTCTGCCAGAAGGGCTTCCATCCTTGGCTGCGTCCCTTCCCACTGAAATTGTGTATATACGTTCAAGATTTGCTTCTGATTGCAGAGATCTGTTTCTAATAGCGACCACTCAAGGCTAAGCAGAAGCTTTACCTTTCCGTAAAGGCTTCTACCTTTTGCTTTTGAGTATGATTTTTTTTTTTATGTTGCTTTATAGTATTGCAGGGAAAAAGCAAATTGTGATTGCAAGATGCAGACTAAAGAATGACAGTCTTACAGTAGTCTTTAGAGACACTATTGAATCATGCTGTCACATCTTTTGTCTTCTGTGCTGCTACCCAACCCTGATCTACAGTTTACACAGATTTCTGGGATGAAATCTGATTGCTGGAGACTTTCTGCTTTTTGTTGTTGTTCTTGTCGTCGTTGTTTTGGGGGCGGGAAAGGGTTTCGGAGTGATGTTCAGTTACAGTTTGAATGTGGAATAAACACTTAAGATGGTGATGATGTTGCACTGTTCGCTTAGGAACGTATATAAAGCCATATGATGCTAGATCTCAGAGCACAAAGCTTGGTCAGTACAACTATGGTTAGGACAACGGGCAGGATTTGCCCCCCTTTTCTCCCCAGCCCTCGGAAAATTCAGGCTGAAGTGGTAGAGGAAATCTGTACCAAACAAAAAACATGTTGATTGTTTGCCTTTGTCTTACATGGTAATGAGTGTTGATTTACAAATGATTTTAGGTTCAACTTTAAATAGTTTGGGAAAATAATCCATTCCGTATCACTTGTTCTGTTTTGAAATTATATACCGTACACTCTACCATGCAGAGTTTATTCCTTTTCTAAAAAAATAAATAAAATTTTAAAAAAATTGAAAAACCCAGACTCTTTTCCACTAGTGACAGTATGTAAAATTATTCCATTCTCTCATCTGTATGTGTCAAATGGTTTTGGTTTTGTCTTCCTCTGGGACATAAAGCTGCTTATTAATGAGCCAGTGGTGGGATTGCCCAAGGGCCCTTGCCATTTCCTGGCATTCATCTCCCTGCAGAGCCCTCACCTCCAGCATCTTTCCTCCAGCCAAGATCTTAAACTTCTTCCCAGACCATTGTTTTGGGTTTGTTTTTTTTTTTAAGCCCTTCTTTTTGGCACCAGCTCCTCCTCCTGGAGCTGCCAGGCCCTGGTTCTCCCAGTCCCAACCGTCGGTGTGCAGAAGGACGAGGCACAAGCAGGCTCCTCAGCATTGCTTGTGTCTCGCGACCCCTTGTTCACCTGAGAATTTCAGATATGCCGCTTTGGTTTAGTCCAGGTGGTAGTAAAATTTACAACTGGCCCTCGTACCAGTTGTAGTTCACAAGCAGCCGCTTCCGGTTGGGAGGTTGAAAGTTCCGTTTCGGACATTCACGCGCGCACAAACCCAATTATCCACCACCTGTTGGCATTCAAGCTATTTTTTTTCCACCTACGACACCCCCTAAATCCAACACCTAGCTAGGTGGTCTCACCAAACAACACCCATTTATTGTGCATTTTCATTCCACATTAATGAAGTTAACGTGAAAGGTTTGGCTCCCTACCTCCACCCATCACTGTCTGGGTTCTCTAGAGACCCTCAGCTGTAAATGACATTTGTTGGAATACGAACATTAGCTGGATTTACACAGACGCCAGAACATACAAATATACAGAAAAATGCTTTACTAATCATTTCCCAAAGCTATTCACTAACAGGCAATGGCTTCTTTGGGATAGTCTATAACGTCTTTAAATGATATAACTTCAGTTAATTGCTCCAGCCTCCTAAAATACGGAGCCCACAGCATAAGTCTTCCCTGGAAGCAGTGAGTAGTAGTTTGTTAGGAGATGATAACACCTTCCCACAATGCTAAAGGATTTTGGCACCAGGCCCCACATTAAACATTGAAAAAAAAAATGGTAAAAGTAGCTTAGTGAGGTGAGAGACTGAGCAATCACAGCAACAATGCCACCACCACTAGCTGAGACTGAAATCTGTCCCAAGTTGCACCTTTTGGGAGTGGGGAAGGAGTGTGGGAGGCAGATTTGAACTTAATTTGTTCATCTTCCATGGTAAACTTTGTAGTGAAGAGGGGAGAAAAAAAAGGAGGAAAAAGAAACTTCAGGTGCATCCCTTCAAAGAAAGTTGCACACAAGCGAAAAGGCCTTTCTGAAATCTTAATCCTTGATCCTTCCTGCCGACTTCACCGTGAGCCCATACAGCCAGAGACTCCCTGCCTCAGCCTGGAGCCTGCTGGTCCAGATGAGCTCAGAGGAGAGCTTTTCAGTCACTATAAACAAAAAAAACCTTGCCCAGACCCCAACAGCAAATACCAGGACCAACGGTGAGAGGAGAAGCAGTGCTTGTAGTGTGCTACTGGGAAAGAGCCGGAACTGTGATCCGGGAAAATGGCCTGTATACCTTCAAAGCAAGGCCGGGGGGAACCAAGAAGTTGCTGAAGTTGCCACTGACTTGAGCAGCAAACCCTTCCTTCCGTTGGTGAGAGCTAAATATTGGCTGCTACCAGAAGTTAATTTACCTTTTCTATGCATTCCTCTAGCCTGTCATACACCCCTTTCCATAATCTTGCTGAGCATCATCTTAAACCAGCTAGGACCCTTGTCTCTGCTGCACTGTTTAGACACATGCTCCAGGACTTAATTCCTCAAACCAGAAGAAGCTTTCCAGTTTGTAGTCAAATTTAATCGGTGACTAATTTATAACTTCTTGAACTCATGTCAGTATTTTATCTAACTTGAAACAGAAATCTTTCCCCTATGGGAACTCTGGGATGGGGGGGATCCTCAGCAGCAGCAGATATTCTTAACAAGGTTC